GGTTTTATGGTTGTAACTGTAAGAAAAGTCAAACTGCCTTGTTCAGGTTTTATGGTTGTAACTGTAAGAAAAGTCAAACTGCCTTGTTCAGGTTTTATGGTTGTATCTGTAAGAAAAGTCAAACTGCCTTGTTCAGCTTCAAAGTGCCTTTTTAATTACTTTATTTTTCATAAATATTGAGTATGATATCATAAACACTAAACTTAGTTGGACAACACTTTCTATACACACAAAACCCATTAAGATCACTGGTAAAGTCTACTTTGTTTCTGCTCTAACAAAGCTTTATATTAACAGTTAAAAAATTGCAAGATAGCGGTCTTTATTAAGTTTTGTTTGCGAACTATCTAAATATTTTTAATTTACATAAAATATTTAATTTCAATGTTGAGAGGAAAGATTAAGCAGTTCGACTGTCAGTAATTTTTTTTATTTGATTACCAGTGGGTTGATATATATATATATATAGCTGGCCTAACTGTAAGCTTCATAATATCAGAAATATAAAAGAAGATGGTTATTAATCACATAAAATACACGACAAAAATAAACTTTAAAATTCCATATACAAATGTAAACAAATATCAGAAACCTAGAGTAACAAAGTCTTTGACCGGGAAGTTAATGTTTGGCTTGAGTTTTCATTTTCTGGTACACATCTTCATAAAACCTGCAGGTTTGTTTTTTCTTTTCCTGTAACATAAAATAGCACATATTTTAAATCAAATATTGTGATACATGATTGAATTATAAATACAGCGATATCAGAATGTATTAAAAATTATGTAGTGACTTGACTGTTAACTTTTAAACTAGTTTTTCATTAGTTCTATTTTTACATATTTCTTATTACCTCAACCCTGTTCATCATTTCCTGTGTCTTTTTCACAATAGTCTTGAGGTGCTGGATGCATTCTTCCTTAAATGCTGCTAACTCCTGTTCTTTCACCTCAACCCTAAAAACAAAGCATAGGTTAGAAGCTTGTATGTTGTTCTAGTAGTTGTACAAGGTTTAAGTAACAAGTAAAACCAGCTTGTATGTTGTTCTTGTAGTTCTACAAGGTTTAAGTAACAAGTAAAACCAGCTTGTATGTTGTTCTTGTAGTTCTACAAGGTTTAAGTAACAAGTAAAACCAGCTTGTATGATGTTCTTGTAGTTCTCCAAGGTTTAAGTAACAAGTAAAACCAGGTTGTATGTTGTTTTTGTAGTTCTACAAGGTTTAAGTAACAAGTAAAATCAGCTTGTATGATGTTCTTGTAGTTCTACAAGGTTTAAGTAACAAGTAAAACCAGGTTGTATGTTGTTCTTGTAGTTCAACAAGGTTTAAGTAACAAGTAAAACCAGCTTGTATGATGTTCTTGTAGTTCTACAAGGTTTTCAGGTAACAAATAAAA